TCCTGCAGGAGTTCAGCTGGGAGGTGTTTGATCATTCACCCTACAGCCCGGACCTCGTTCCCAGTGATTTCCATCTTTTCCTACACCTCACGAAATTCCTGTCCGGTCAGCGTCAGCGTTTTGAGAATGACAGAGAGGCGGAGATGGTTGTCACACAGTGGTTCCAATCCCAGGCGGCAGACTTCTACGACACAGGTATTCCAAAGTTGGTCCCACGGTATGACAAATGTCTCAATTCCGGTGGCGAATATGTTGAAAAATAGCTGGACACTTGCTGTATCTGTTGCAATAAATATTTCCATGAAATTGTGTTTTGTTTCTGTAAACGGCCCCAGGGAAACTTACTTTTGGGACGCGCCTCGTACCACGTCTTGCTTCATTGAGCCTAGAACAGATATTTTACTAATATAATTATGATGACGTGTAATGACACATTTTAATATAAAATTGGATAATTCGCTATTGTAATATAACTCATCAGATACTGAGTGATGTTAAGAAACATTCGTTAATGCTGTTCTATACGTAGGTTATACAGAATAAAAAGGAGACCTACAAAATCTATACGTGTCGTACATGTAGTAGTAACAATTGATAAACTCTACAATTAAAAAATTGAAATGCGATAAGCAGATGAATCACATGAATAATACAGAATATTTCGCTTAAAACGAACCCCGAACTACAACAATATTTATAAGCTTTGATGACATCAACGTGACAGGAAAACAGCTTTTTTTAGTTTTAATTTGTTATAAAGAACTTCCAGCTTTACAGTACATGCTAAAAGTATTTACCATATTCTCGAACATAAGTATCCACAAGAAATTTTTTTACCAGCCGGTGTATTGTCTGATTCCGTACTAGTTTGTCAGCATGCACAATGCCAAACGCATGACGAACAGGAGCCAGCTGTTTCGATGTGAAGTAATGTTCGAGAATGAACACACTTTCTGCTCGTGAATACGCCATGGTCGCACTTACACAGCTTCTGAACAACAGAGGGCGAGCAACCTTTACTAGAAGTATATAAATTATTTCAATGTGAATAACAACACATTAATAACAACAATACTTCAAATATTAGACATTCAAATAGACATCTGAACTCGCTTTAAGTTAACAAGGAAAGAATTAGGCTGTAAATTCGGACAATATTTTGAACACCTACTTCCAGTGGACTGTCATTTGAGTTGTAATAGAAGAATATTATTGCCAGGAGCATAAATTGTACCATTTCAGGATACTAGCTAGGCTATTGGAAAGGCAAATTCCGCAACACAAAATACTGGAAGTGTTTGAACATACTTTATACAGCAGATACCGAAAGATATAAAAAATTAGTAATCAATTCGTAAACAATTGCTGTTCTCGGAGTGGAGTGTTGCCAGGCAATTGTTTCATGCCCAATGAAAAGCAAAGCAAATGGTAGTTGTAAATGTTCGTACTGGAACCTAGAACTTATACGTCGGCCAAAATATGATTTTCATTTACTTATACAACTTGCATTACAGGTGAGGTAGTTCTTCAGTACGATTCTTGAGAAATTAGAAACTGACAAAGAATCCTGTGACATCTGAATTACGCAATAGATCTTTTTTACATTTTCATGCTGGTCGTATTTTACCCATTTTGGTGTTAGACTGCGTTAGCAGATGTTAGGTTCAAGCTCAGACGTGCATGTATTTCTCTATAACGACCAGAACAATCTTCGAAGTACAGATACCTCCCGGCTGTGAGGAACTATTATTATGACGTGCAGCGGATTTATGAGACATGTTTACTCTTTTCCACAAACCCACCTTTCGTGGTGCTAACGAACTTCGTGCCCGCAGGCCCTTTCTTATGGTTTGACTAAACATTTCTTTGTTCTATGCCTCAGTGTCTTATTTACCTACAAGGTCATCAATCTATTATATATACAACGTTGCCAGAAATCGCGTATCCATCTCTCTTTAGAGCGTTGTTAAGGTGAAGGTACCACAATTTTATTTGTTAGTTTATTTAACGACGATATGTTATATGCAACGATTATAGACTTCACTGCAAAATGGGAGGATTGTTATTAATTATACAATGCAATTTATGTGAAAGAAGCGCAAATATTTGTCTGGAAGAATTCAGGGTACCCAAAACGTTACGAAAAATTTAGCAATTTTATCCGATTACAGATATTAGAATAAAACGTATATTTTCCTGAATATTATGAAACATGTGTTAATCACCAAACCATGACACTCAGCGAACTCCGTCTGACTAAGTATGACGCCATGAGAGTCTGTGTGGAAGTTTGGAGGTACTGATAATTATATATGGAGAGATTAAATTATTGATGGGTTCAAATCCAGTTGATGGCTACTAAATATTGTCAACACCTTAAACAAATACAATTTTAATTCAATGTTCCTCCACGACCACAACTATTATTATTACATAGACTCTTCTGCGCACTGTGAGCCCTGGCTTTCTGCCAGATATTTGAAACGTTTTCGACGTTTGGTACGACTCCTTGGACGAGTCGTCGGCCCGGACGACTGCGAGGCACTACTGACCTGTTTACCCACAGAGGACAACACAACGTAACAAAAGCGCGGACCAACATCCATGGTCTGATTCGAACCCACGATCCAGTGGCCAAGACTCACTTATTGATTGCGCAGTGACTCTGATCACCTAATTTACGATAACGTAACCTAAAGACTGGTGCTAATGTTATCTTTACGTCGTATGTTGGTTACGCTGTATGATTCGTTGCCAGAGCCTTGCTTCGGAAGATGATTAAAAAGTCAAAGTGAGGTTGGCGTTAAATAAAATAAGATTTTATTTGGAAGTCCTACTCATTAAATAATTCTCGTTTACGTAAATTAGTTCTGAATGCATGCTTGGCTTGTTTGACGATGATTAACGTAGTCTTTAATAAATTTGTCAAATTAAACAGTGCGGACTATTTTTTTTAGCAACGTGATACAATGGAATTTGTTTATGTAAATTGCGTCAGATCGCCATTTTAGGTTATATTTTCTATATTTATGAATAGAGTTTAAATTGTAGGTAATTTAAAACGCGTGATAGGCGTTCGTTATTGCAAAATACCGCAAACAAAATGAGATCCTGCTTAGGTTATTTTGTGTAACAGCAGATCCGCACATTAAATGAAACATGTCTACAATTAAATACAAAAATGCGTGTTACAAATTTTGCTTCAAATGACGATGACACTAAATGCAATTCTATCATGTTACCCAGCAACAACGTCAGGCCTAAGTAGGACTTGATGTTTAGTGCGTACTAAGATGGCTGTCTTCTGGGTAGTAGTTCGGCAGAAGTTTACCAACGTTTCTGAGGTCCTTGCTGCCTCCATCATCAGGGCCATCTCAAGGCGATAAATTATAGCCCTGATGATGGAGATAGCAAGGACCTCTGGAACGTTGGTAAACTTCTGCCGAACTACAAAGTGTTACAAACCACAAGATAGCCGTCTTAGTGCGAGGCCTAGAACAGCTCTAGAAGATTATTTTCTTCGTTTAATTAGTATACGTTTAATTAGTATAGTGTCAAATTACAAGGTTGCTACGAAGAAGAAATTTGGGAGAAAGTGAAACTCAGGAGGCGTGGCCTATCGTAAAATGGGGTGCTAGTCACCCTTCAGTTTGGCTGGATAGAATGAGGAAAGGCATGGAAAATCCCAGTGAAGACAATTAGTATCCGAGACATATTCGAACCCCCTACCTCCAGAATATGAAACAGGGTTGTATCCACTACATTTCATTATCGGGTTAGTGTAATGGTTCGAAACTTGGCCAGTTTTTCACGTACACAGACTAAGGCATTTGTGTTTTCCTTTATTCTGTCAAGTTGAACGTCTGTATGATACCTTAAAACAAGGCACAATTGAATCCTTTCAGAAATATTATGTATTGACAATTTATAAATGTCCTGCCATTTCATTTAACACTATAGACCTAGAGGCTCTGCATTTTTAACCGAGTCGTTAAATTAGAACCCCTGAACTACTGTATGAAGACGATGACTGTTATGTCTTGTAGTATTTATAAATATAAGTTGTCTTACATTTTCAGTTTCGTCAAAGATGGAGTCTTGTACATTAGGCCGACCCTCACAGCTGACGAATATGGAGAAGACGTTTTATACAACGGTGCTATCAGAGAACCAGGCTGTAACAGAGAACCCTGTGTGTCGTAAGTTGGCAAGAATTTATTTAAAATGAGTTACACTTCTAATCTCTTTTCAGGCTATGCATTGATGTTATATTGAGTACAATGGAAATAAAGGACAGTTACGTAAATTAGGAAATGCGGGAAATAAAGTGGTCGTAGTCTATTTCAAGGTAAAATACCAGTATGTCATTAGGAAATATCGCCATTGTCTTCTGTCCGACAAGGTTTACATCTGGCTTACATTTGTATTAACTGTTTCTCTAACATCTGTCTTAATCGTATCTTCTCCTTCTGACAGACCTAAGTAGGTACTTCCCACTTTCCACCTGAGGATGTAAACGGATTTATTTTCCGAAACGTTGTGTTGTTCTTGGAATACTATACAATATGCAACATACATAAATCCAGTAATACTAATTTAGTGTACCATCGTCTAAACCCTACTTGAGACATTTCCATGAAAGGAAATGTGTTCTCTCCCCCCTACTCTCTCTCTCTCTATATATATATGTATATATACATATATACACACATATATAAACTCATCGCCTTGAGAACCTGAAATATCACATTCTGTACTTATATTTCGGAGCTATATGTCTTCCTGGTGTTCAGGTGGGCAGCAAGTTTCTTCGAACCGTTCTTATATAACCATAAAATTACACTGGCTAATAGTTCTGAAGATCACGGTCTGAACACACGGCTTGGAAACCACGAATTCTATTCTGCCCTTGTTCCTCCAGGTTCTGTTACATCAACTTCTTTCATTTATTCACTGTAACAATATTTGGTAATGATGGAGGCAGCAAGGACCTCTGAAACGTCGGTGAACTTCTACCAGACTACACGGTGCAACAACCCTGAAGACAGCAATGTTCAGACTCACCACCGTCAAAACCTCAAATACTACATATGTTCCAAGTGGGACTGAGGAAAACTAAGAAATATCTTAGTCACTCTAACCTGTCTCCTGACCGATGTTTGAACTAGGGACCCCTCACACCGCTTGTATGGTGTGTCTCTTATTTCGTGTGGCAGAACTAGGAATTTTTCCTGCATATTAGTTCTCATTCTACAGCAACAGATAAAGTGGTGATGTGTGTTAACCAGTTCTTCACAAAATGTCGGATGTAATATGTAAACCTTGGAGAAATAAAATATTTCCCCTACGATCATTTTGTACTTCAACACGGTTCCTCAAGGTCTTCAAATGCTGTGTAACTGATCGAAAACCAACTCCGGTATCTTTATTATATTCAGCATAGTGTAAAGGTTTATGTAAGCCTGTAACAGAAGCCGAAATGATTTTATTCTAAAATGCTGCTTCCACCATAAGGAAGATGGACTCATTACTCTGATTATGCAGCAAGGACCTCTGAAACGAGTTAAGCGTCTAGCAGACTACACAGTGCTAAGCCCAGATGACAGCCATCTTCTAGTGCTTTATATTTTGACGATCGGAGCAGAACAGTAGCAGGATCATTAGTTATTCCAGATTTCAGTATCTTAACGAGAACGGCACTTTCACCCAATATATCTACGTGTCATAAAACTTTATATCTATGGATAACTATCTGTTTTAAAACTGTCAACAAACCTATTTATACACACATACTGTACACTTACGAACATATATGCAATGTTCATATCTAAGTATTTGCCTGCCTGTACGCACGCAACTGCATTTTAAAACTTCAATTTGTTACATTTTTAAATATTTTAAATAACAAACAATAGATAATGCCTAACCAAAATGTCTTAATAGCCTACTAATGGCTCAAATTTGTTTTCTTATCTCCTTCTGTTTGGCTTTGTGATACGGAACAAATTATAGTTATAAATTGTTAGTAAACATGAACCATTTATTTTAAGATTCCTTCCTTGATTTTAGATTTCTGCAGTATATTTCTGATTTCCTACTCGAAACCTTCTTATTTATTTCGTGACTACGTTTGCACTGACTAAGTATTGCTTTTCTTTCAGTCCTCTACTGGCTCTGCTGTCAATCAGCTCAACTAAGTAGTTTCTTATACGTTCTGATGCTATCTAGAAAGTCCAAATTTACATACATTTCTAATACTTTAAAATAATATATTAGTAAAAAATCACCATTTTTGTCGTTGTAAAGAGGTTAAACTTAAAATACATCATTTTTATTTCCAACGTTTTCGTAAGCTAGTAAAGACTGCTATTAAGACGTGGGTGGAGGTGGTTAAGTGTGTTGATGACAGTTTTCAAACTCATTCTCGATATTTTTATTCCATCGTTTATAAAACAGCAGCAGTACAACTGCTAATAATTAATTAACTAACTAACTAACTAACTAACTAGGTGACTTAGGGCAGTGGTATTCAACCTGGGATACGCTAAGACATCTTAAGGGGTACGTGAAATTTAAAAAAAATATTATTTTATGATAAACACTGAAAAAACAGTAATGTAATTTGTTTAATTTATTTTAAATGTAGATTATATACTATGTATAACTTGAATTATACACCAACAACTTTGAGGGTAAAAAGTTGAAGAGAAATTATATCTGGGGGTACGCGAACATAAAAGGTTGAATACCACTGACTTAGGGAACCCGAAGGTTCATCACCGAATGAACGAAAGCCCTCTTCTTCTTGACCTAATAACCCTGACAATATTAGGGGAGGAGTACAGATTTTTAAGCTCATCATTATGCAGTTTTTTTCCACGCTCCATCGTCTTCTCTCCTAGGCTCAAATATCCTCCTCAACAGCCTATTCTCAAAACAACTGCTAATAATTACAAACCTCTATGTATATATTCTTAATAATTTTTCTAAAAAATATGAATTGTCAGTTGTGACCATGTATATAATTTCTTTAAGTACAGATCTCATCGTTCTCAACATGTTTTTCACTAATTAAATTCCACAACAACCTATCTGGTTACTTAACTCAATTCTTTTATTCCTTCTGTTAGCAATCAAGGACAAACCAATTCCGTTTATTTCGACTTAGGTAAAGCTTTTGACGTAGTTCCTCACAATATTTTTCTTTGTAAGAATAGTAATTTTGGACTATCGTCTAAATATATTGACTTCTTTCAAAGCTATCTGTTTCAAAGACAATATTTTGTTCGAATTTCTATAACTTTTTCGTTTTCACATCTTATGAAGTGTGGAGTGTTTAAGTTTAATCTCAGAACTCATATCCTTTAACATATTTGTTAATGACATTTATGATTCCATTTATAATTCTAGCAGTATTAGCAATGCTGACTGCAAACGTTTTCAGTACGACATCGATTCATTGCAAACTCAATTTAGGTCAAACTATTATATTTCTTACTCGTAAAATAAACAGTATTTATTTTAATTCAAATTAATAGTATTAAGCTTCCACCGTGTTAAATATCTTGGTGTTCTATTGGACTGCAAATTTTATTTTCAACAGTTTATTAAGTACATATATTTACAAGGTTTAAAATCGCTGGGTTTTATATGATCCATTACATGCCGTTTTTTTCTCAAACCGAATAGTAATTACTGACGCCGCTATACCGGAAATAATTCAAAGCAATTTGCAGCTGTATATTTATATATATATTTAATGGCGTATGCGACTGTAAATATAAAGACATTCTCGTTAGATTATATCTCTTAACTCTCCGTTTAAAGAAGATATATTTTGATGCCCTTTTTCTTATTAATATTCTTAAAGGAAAAATTAGTTGCTCAAATGGTTTGGTTACTCTTAGTTTGCGTGTACTCACTGAAACTATCAGACTGCTCTATTTTTAATCTGCATCGTAACTTCAAAGTCATTTCCTCAGCCAGAAATGTTCTGCTCCCAAGACACTATGTCGGATCATTGATATCCTTAATTTTTAAATGAAATTTCTTTTCAATTTTCTTGGATATTCTTTATGTTTTAATTGTATTTTTTTATATTTCAGTTCTTGCCTGTAATTGACTTCTCCGCTGTTGTTTAGAACTTTAATAAGTGGATTATACTGAATTAAACTGAATATTTAAAAGCGATTATCTACCGGAAAACCCCCAGCGTTAGCAACGTTGTTTACTGACTAAACATTAATTGAAGGCCACTCAACGTTTTTCATATGTAATTTGCTTGCTGTTTAGGTATTATCTTTGCATTATCACGAGGTAAATCTGTTCCCTGTGCTTACTATTACGGCATGGTGAGAGGGCGAATTGGCGTCTGTTCAGTTTGGCACACATCCACGAGTATGACTACATGAAATTAATAAAGAAAAAGGCACGTGTTTATAAGAAGAATAAAACAATTAATTTAAATACATTGCATAACAATATCCAAAGGAAAAACCTACAAATGCTACCAGTTTCTGTTAGGAAATGTTTTAGTGTATTAGTTAACATTTCCCGGAATTAAAATATCCAACCGGATAGATTTCTTGGTTTGCGTTGGTCCTCCAGGAAAATGCCCAGATAGCAAAACACTTCAGCCACAAACACTCAACTTTAGATCCTTCTAAGCTTAACATTTATTTTAATCCCTTAACTCGGCACCATGTGAAGTGTGTTGACGAAAAAAATCGGCCATAAAAGCAAAATAACAGACAGTGTAACCCTGTTTTAGCAAGCACTAATTTTGAATGAACCTAAGTACTTCTGTTGTTATTACGGTGAGATAAATCCTTAAATTTAAATAAATATATGTTGACGTAAAGGGGGATAAAATTATATCTACCTATATCACGAAAATAGCGTAGGCTTCTTATTAGTCAAACATAAATCTAAATTAATTTCAAAATTTTACTCCTTCTACCACAGAAGGTTAATCATGAATATAATGTGACATTTGAAGTCTTCACATAGTAGAAATTTGGAAGGAGGTAGTTGTGGCCTGTCTGGAAGCTCTGTATCGAAGTTTCCTGCAGGAACCTAGGGAAAACACAAACCTCAGTAAAAATAGCCGTTAACCTTTTCTAGATTTGAACTGGACACTTCCCTCATATAAATTAGATTTCAATTTGAGCCTAAAATTATGGGCAGCATATAATAATAATAATAATAATAATAAAATTAATTATTTTCATTATGCTGCATCAACAGCCAGAAGGCCAATTACAGAGAATAATAATTCAGTTTATTTAATTCTTTTATTAGTCTTTCCAATAGTAGAAAACCAATGCCAAGCAAACACTACATTGTGCGTGTGTCATTTGCAGTAATGACGCACATAGCTGAAGAACCATAACAATGTTTAATAATAACAATAACAAAAACAATAATAACAACAGACCTGTCGGACTATTGTAACCACCAGTACGTTGCATTGTTTGAAATGAATGTGCCTTAATGTCACTGAATGCGATTAAACAAAACAAAGAACTAATAACTGTCGAATTGCTTTAGCATATGAAATGCATTTTCGTCTGTAAATTTTTCGGAGTAGTGGTTACAATTCCATCATGTTTGTTATTCGGATCGGAATCTCAGCCCGCTAGATCTCGTCCCCAGTTTCGCCAGGTAAACTCTACGACAAGTTACTAAAGTAGGCCATGGATGCTATGCTCAATATGGGAATGTTTGATTGTATATCCATTTATATATTTAGTTTAATTTCTTTTTTTGCATATGTATATATTATCAATGTTTGCCTGTCATTGGCTCCTCGCTGTTGGCAAACACTTTAATAAATGAACTGAATTAATATCCTACCATTCTGTAATATATAAGCTAAGTGCATGATAATTAAATTAAACAATAATTATTATGTTTAAACACATTCAGGTTCATATCGTCTGAATTTATGTTTAAGATCTTTCATCTTCCCTGTTATCTTTGTTATCGACCTGTCTTTCTCCATTAATAACTTTTGAACCAATTTACCGTTTAAAATTCCGTTACAGGGTTAGTGACAACACGAATTTGGGCCGTGCGAACGCCTGAGACCGAACCCAATTTGAAGCGCAGTTTGTCTGCTCAAACCACACTAGTATTTTCTACCATAAGCCGTCCAAAATATACCCAACCGTTGCTCCACACAATCTTACAGCTATTATAGTTCACGTGATTGCTTTTTAAAGTCATCTTAAAATAAAAGCAGAAGCATCATGGCTTGCTTTCTAGATTTTACATGATTGCTGTAATACAATTTCTTTCAAAATTTCAGTAGCACTAATACGTAAAAAGAGAAGCAGGACTACCATAACCATTTTGTAAAGTAATTCATAACCAAATTAGTTTATTTAATGATCAATTTCATGTATGAGAAT